CCCCACCCCGTGCCTGGTTTCCAGGGTGGGCGGGTGGGCAGCTGTGGATATAGAAGAGGGTTCAACCCTTGAGCCCTGATTGGCAGGGGAGAAGGGTTCATAAGAAAGGCTTCCAGAGGACCTCCTGGGCACACAGGAGTCCAGAGCCAGGCCGAAGAGCTGAGAGGACGCTCTCAGTGTTTGCTCAGCACCTACTCTGCTCAGGGCAGATGAGCCAGATCTGCCCTGCCCCCTTTGCCAGGCCAGACCAAGGGCTGAAGCGGAAACAGCCAAGCTGGGTCCTGGGGGTCCTCGGTGGCATTCAGCAGGCAGGTGCCTTCCCCACGCTTCCACCAGGCAGCCCTCCGCAACGCCCTTCCTGTCCAGCAGTGTCCTCGGCCAGGGCCGGGTCTTGCTAGCTCTGTGACCTTGCACAACACCCCTGACCCGCCCTGGGTTTCCTCAGCTGTAGAGTGGACCCCAAGCTTTAGGTCTGTGCCCTGGGTGTGCTTGGCGGCCTAGACTCAAGGTCTGGGCAGAAGTTGGCGGAGGGGGCCACCTCCTGGCTGTGCCTCAGACAGAGCACTGCTCCTGGCCAGCCATTGGGACTCATCTTAGTCTTGCACCCAACTCAGAACCAGCCCCCTTCGGACCTGAAGGGGGTGCCCTCCGCTCTGACCGCGCACCCTCTTCTGATTTGCACTGGGAGACCGTGGCTGGCTTCACCCTCCGACAGGAAAGGTGGCATGTCGAATCCCACCCGAGCGACACAACAGCAACCGTGACTGCCCTGAGCGCGTGGGGAGTGGGCCAGACTCCCCACTCCCCTGGCACCTGGAACGGGCCGAGCATCTGGCGCTCCGACCTCACTCTCCAGCGAGGGCCCACCCACCCCAGCTCCCAGCCAGCCCGTGGCTGCGGCCGCCCCACACCTCGCCCCACGCTCACAACCCAGTCCCTGGCCCCAACCCGCTGGCACCGGCTGTCTCTGCCCTGCTGCCGGCTGGGGACCCTGGGCCCGCTGCTCTCAGGGTCCACCCATGTCCTCCTGGGATTGCGACAGTGGTGAGCTTTTCTCATCTCTTCACGGGTCAGCCCTGGACCTGCACCCAGCCCCTACTGCGTCCGTCCCTGTCCTTCTCAGTCTAGCATGAAGTAGGGACTCCCGGGAGGAGGAGTGGGCTCCTCAGGTTCCCTGGGTGGGCACAAGGGGCGAGGGCAGCAGGGAGCCGGACCACCCCTTTGGTGTGGCTCTGGGGCAGGTTCCCCCAGCCTGGGCACTGCCCACGTTTTGGGCCAGATAGTTCTCTGCGGTGGGCGTCCTGGGCATGGTGAGAGATGCTGATCCGCGTCCCGGCCTCTACCCCAGATGCCAGGCACACTCCAACCCCTAGTTGTGACGATCCCAAACACCTCTGGACCTGGCCCAATGCCCCTGGGAGGCCCCATCCTGGATGAAGACCCAGCCCCCCAGGGTGCTATAGTGGGGACTGGAGCCCAGGTCCTGCGGTCCCCGCTGGGCTTCCCTTCACCCCTCCAGGTTGACAGCTGCCTCAGGCCAGCTCGGGGACTGTGCCCCTTGGCCTGACATTTGGGCACATGTGACCCGTGTGACCTGCCAGCTCCTCTCTCCATCCAAAACCTCAGTCCCACCCCGATAGGAACATGGGGCTGGGGCCTGTTCCTGCCTGTTAGGCCAGCGCTGTGCCTGCAGTGGGCAGCTTGGGCGTGAGAGGAGCCGGACTGAGGCCTCCCTCTGCCCGGACTGTCAGGGTTGAGGGTCAGGTAAGCACCCTGGCTGGCAGGACGCCCATCTCTCTCACACACACACACAACACACGTGCATTGGGCCTGCCTCCAGGCCCGTTTGGGATGGTTATCAGAGCCAGGTGGAGGGCAGACCCCACCCCACATGCTGAGTAGGCTTTTCAGAAGAATCTACTCCCAGATTTAAAGGGGAAAGTTTGGATTCTTCCCCCCCCCACCCCATAGTCACATGTGTCTGTGCAAAAGGAGCTTGGGAAGGGTCGAAGATACCACTCAGGTTCAGGTGGACGGACCGGGGCCGGGGCTGGGGCTGGTAATGCACAGCTGAGGATCGGGTGCCTTTCTGTCTTGTTTTCTTTTTCTTTCTCCTTCCTCCCTCGCTCCCTCCATCTCTTCCTCCCTTTTCTTTCTTTCCTTCTTCGTGAAAATTACATATTCTTTAAAATTCACTGGAACCATAAAAAGGGAGCACAGTGTCGCAGCGGCTGCCCCTGTGGCCCACGGCGTCCAGCGGCGCCCCTGCCCAGGCTCCACATGGGCCAGGCCCTGGCAGTCCTGGGCCATGTCTCCCCACATCCCTCCCTCCGGGATGATGGACCAGCTTCACCCTGTCTAGTTTTTGCAATGCCTTCTCCCTTTGGAAGGGTTTCCGAGGAAGCAGAGGATGAAGGGCCTGGGTCGGGAGCATGTGCTCATGCCATGCATGCGGCAGGGGACCCTGCACCCACCCCCTAGCCCGGCCTTGCGACCTCATTCTGAGAAGACAGAATTAGATTTACATTCGTGCAGCAGATTGGTGTGCGGCCGCCATTTGCTGGCTCTCCGTGTGCAGCTCATCATTATAAAACACCCGTGTCCCCCGGGGCAGGCGACAGCAGACGAGGGAATAACATCCGGCTCATTAACTCCTTCATTCATCAGTTCTTCATCAATATTTATCAAAGGCTGTTCCTTGCCATCCTTCTCATTGACATCGGTCCCCACACTGATCTCCCCGCAAGCACCCAAAGACTTGTGTCTGGCGCAGAGTTCGTTTACCCCCTCGAATCTGAGCATTCCATCGCCCCAAGTCACTTGGGCAGATGACCTGTCTCTGGGAGGAACCGTTTACTGTATGTGTGACTTCTACTGCAATATCAGTACCATATCAATAAAGTGCTGATGGACTCTAGGGTCATTAAGGCTGAAGTCACTCCCCTATGTGCATATGTGTCATTTGGGTGGGGGTCACCTGGAAGAGTGTCTTAGCTTGCTGTTGTGTTGCTAACAGAAATACCCAAGACTGGCTGATTTATAAAGAACAGAGGTTTATTTGGTTCACGATTCTGGTGGCTGGGAAGTAAAAGGCACAGGGCTGGCATCAGGCTGACTCTGGTGCTCCATCACAGCACAACCAACAGAAGCAGAGAGAGCAGAGTACATGTAGAAAGAGACCGGGGGGAAGCCATCTTCCTTTTATAACAATCTGTTCTCGTGGGAATTAACCATGTCTCACAAGAGCTAGAGTTTACTCCATCTAGTGAGGCAGCACTAATTCATTTGTGAGGGTGATCTCTCCATGATCCAAGCATCACTCCCTAGGTTTAACCTCTTAAAGGTCTCAACACCTCCTAATGCCATTGCACTGAGAACCAAATTCCAAACCATGAAGCTTCAGAGGACAAATCATCCTCCAGGCCATAACAGGGAAGTTCTGTCTCAGATTGGAAAATGGAATGAGGGAACAGTCTGGGTTGGGACAGGGAGTCTGTCCCTTGGGCATTGTCAGGAAGGTCAAAGGGGAGTCTCTCAAATCCTTAGAAGGTCCATTTCCCACAAGGACCCATGTGTAAAGAGCCCAGTGTGTGTGTTGCTGAGGCTGCCTACCAAGTGCGCACGTGGGGGCTTACACAGCAGACACTCATCACCTCACAGTTCTGGAGGCTGGAAGTCCAGAGTCAGTGTTGGCAGTGCTCATGTCTAAAGAGGGCAGCGAAGGGGGCTCGGCTCCAGGCCCCTCTCTGCCTGGCGTCGGTCGTCTCCTCCCTGCATTGCCA